TAAAAAAAAAAAAAAAAAAAAAAAAAAAAAAAGTTGTAAGTAAACTTACTGGAAGACATTCTTAAAGAAATTATGCCAATATAACAAAAAGGGGCAGATGGAAGAAATATAATAGTTAAAATCTAGCGAGTGAAACACAATTGAGTATGATTCTAATTAAATTTTGAAATAGACATATTAACTTAAAAAGTTGATATTTGAAGAGATGTCTAAAATATTTTAAAAATAATAATTCTAAAGTAAATCATAGATACATATGTTGTTTCACCAAAAGATGAATACTGACGATAGCAGAGACGTGTGACAGCTGGACGTATCAGCCTATCACATGGACATAATTATGCGATTTCTCAACAGCAGTAACAATGAAAAATAGACAGTGGACTAAACAGTGAGGAAATAACTGTAAACCTTTAATTAAAAAATGAAGTAAGTTACCATTGAGAATAAAACTTAAACACTTTTACAGACAACAGAAACTTGGGCTTTAGTCTTTAACGCAGGATTTTTATAAGCTGTGCTTCATTATATAGGAAATCTTAGAAGGTAAGGTAGTTGAAAAATAGGGAAAAAGTGGAAAATATCTAGGTGAAACTGAAGGAACTGATATAATAAACAAAGCAAAATAATTATAACTAGTTTGAAGTATTAAAAATAAAGATGGGACAAAATTTCTGAACACTCATGAGATCTGATCAAAATATACCATGGATGTTTAAATTTTAAAGATTTGTTATATTTAAAGATGCTTTGTTATAAATCCCCTCAAAATATTCCCCTCACTTCAAATGTAGGTATCTCATTACCCTTGCTACTTTGTTAAACAGTTCTGAGAGTCTTCTTTCTTGAGTGTCTTTACAAAGTGAGATTTAAAAAAAAAAAAAAATACAATGAATGCCACTCCTGCATGCCTTCCAATGGAGAGCAGGTTCGTAGAAACGTTACTGTGTGTGTTCTCATCCATCTTATTCATGAGATCTAGCAAGGTGGGACTACTGACTCACTTCCAGTCAAAATGATTATGAAAGATAAACATTTTGAATGGATTTGGGAGATCCATGCAGCCATGACACCACAGCTAAAGACATTTACAAAGGCAAACTTCCAGAACTGCTTCACAAAGGTGAAAGAACATACTGCTTTGCCTTGTAGATTCATAAATTTAAGCACGTAGGACTCATTATTAAATAAAGAAAAATATCACAGTTAATGTGTATCCCTTATTAAAAATACCCATTTGTCTTCTAATGAATTCATTTGAAAAGTGAAATCAAAGGTAATTTATGGTAAGTTACCTCTATTTATCTAATAATTAGTGAAGTGAATAAAGAAAAATGGCGTACCCAGCTTCAAATGGCAGAAATAAAGATAGTAATCAGCCACTTAAATACTCTGAGAAATATGTGTCCTTGAAATCAAGCAAATTTAAAGACTTGGTGATGTGGAGACAAAAATCTTTGGTAATCTAATGATCTGTGCAAGATTAGTATGTGAATTGACCTGCTTTGGTTGTATATGGATATATGAAAGTTTGGCTTTCCTAGTTTATTCTTAAACTTGTTAGATTTAAAATTTCACTAAAGTTGTACTTTAGTCTGAATTTGAATGCTCAACAGAAAGAACTGTAAAGCTAATAGCAGGGCCGAAAGAATTACCAGCACAATTACCTTTGTGACTTCATACGCCAGGAAGAGATATAGATGTTAGAAGAAAAAAAATTCACTTTATGGATAAACTATGATGATAAACTTGAACAAATGGCCAGTCCCTCTTAGATTAAAGAACTGACATGTTTTAATTAATTGCTGGATTCAAAAAATTTCTAAAGGGCTTGCTGTAGAATTATAGGCCAAGTATCAGGAATACAAAGTATCTGAGAATAGAAAAAATGTTCAGTATATCAGGGGATATTATTTGATGAAAGACAAGAAAGAACTGGACTTTTTCTTGATACCACGAAATAACATGTTTTTAAATGCTCCACCTGACTTAGTAAAATGACCCAGTTAGTTGTAAGGATATAAATACTGTTTTTGGTATTTCTTCCTTTTAAACTCGCAGTTACAAAAGAAGATAAAGTAGAAATAATGAAATGTGCTACCCTAACATTAGAGTTCCTAAGAATATTTAAGCTTTATCTGGAAGAAAATGTTGTCAATTATAAACTTTTGTGTAATAAGTGAAGAATAACTATACTTATGAATACTACATATATTTTCATCAATAGAAGTTAGAAAAATAGTAAAATAGTAATCAAAATCTTTTGATGTTAATCTCTTTTGCTCTCTGTTATTGTATATTTATAACCTTATTTTTTGGTTAGGAATATAGTATTTTGTTAAAATTTCAAATCTTGTCAAGCTTGATTGTACCAGTGCACAAAGAAAGCATTTGTTAACACTCATTTTTATTTTCATTAATTTTCACTTTTTGTATATTTATTTTAAATATTATAAATATAGCTATAGTAATAGGGTTAAATCCTCTGGAGTATGGGACATTCAGACATTAAGGTAATTTGTTAGGACAGATTTTTACTTATTTAATTAATGCATTACAGTTTAATTTAAGAGTACATATATTTTATTCTGCTGTACACTTGACATTTCTAATACCTTGCTTAATACACTGAAGCCTTAAGGAGGGTGTATATTCCAGGTGATTCAGTATTTTTTAAATTAAACTCTCTAGTAATATGAACTTTGTTTGCAATTTTTTTACATTGATAAAACATTTCAAAAATAATACAAAGAATTTCCATATAGTACACTATTAATTTTCCCTACTGTTAACATTTACGTTGGTAAGAAATCTTTGACACCACTAAAGCACCTATATCAACACATCAATATTAAACAACCACCCAGAAACATTTGCTTAACTTTTACCTAACATCTTTTACTCTCCATGATCATATCTAGTAATCACACCGTGGTCACCGAGAGAAGGGCAGTTTGTGTCACTTTCCTTGTCTTTGAAAACCTCAACAGTTTTGAGGATTACTGCTCAGATATTTTGGAATTGGTTCAGTTTTTTTTCCTTTTTCACTCATTTGCATTTTATGAGTACATGTTTGCAGTCCATAATGATTACACTTATTGTAGCGAGTTTGTCTATGTACATAACACTCAATTCTTTTGTGTACCATTCCCCCACCATCCCTACCTTCTCCCTCCAACTCTTCTTCCTCTTTCCATTTGCAAAAGCTCTATTTTCATTTTTCCTTCAGTTCTGTTTTTCTCATCTCTTATCTCTCTCCTGTCTCTCTCCTTCTGTAATGGAATTAAGAGTTTCTGGGGGAGTTGCAGAGGTTTAAATGCCATTCACATCATACTGTATCCAGTGCACACTGTCCATCCACATGGCTTACCACTGTTGATTTTGACTTTGGGCAGCTGATTGAGAAAGCATTGGGCAGGTTTCTCCACTGCAGAGTTACTTTTCTTCCTCTTCTCTTTGCAATGAGCTCTCTGGTAGGAAGTCACTGTGCACAGGCCACAATTAGGGAATGGGCATTATGCTCTTCCCCATTCAGGACATAGTATCTATGTACATTATCAGAATTCTTTTGAATACAATATTGGTGTATTAGCTCTGTAATTATTCAAGCATTCATTCACATCAGTTTGAACTCATAACTGGTTATTTTGTACTTTGAATTTGTGAAGGTAAAACTTGATTGTGTCAATTTGATCGGCTCGGCAGGCGCCCAAGGGACTGATCGGGTGTGTCTGTGTGGCCAGGGTGCTGTGACCTTGAGCACTGCACCTGGTCCTTTGGTCCTTCCTCTTCCCATTCCATACTTCCTGGTGGCCATGAACTAAGCAGGTTTTGTATCTTTCATCAAAATATCCCTGCCTTGGAGCCAAATGAACATAGCCTGGATCCTTGAAACCAGAAGCCAATTTAAACCTTTTCCTCCTTTAAGGTCTGTGGGCCGGGTGTTAATATCACATTATTTTCTTGCTCAAACTGTTGCACTTTTGACTATTGAAATATCCTTTAGTCAGTTCCTGTGTCTGTTTGACATGCCTCCAGCTAGGTGTAGGTGCCTGTATGTGTGCATGTGAGTCAGTACCTCTCTGTCTCTCTCTCTGTCTCTGTCTCTCTCTCTCTCGCTTTCTCTCTCTCTCTCTCTCTCTCTCTCTCTCTCTCTCTCTCTCTCTCTCTCTCTCTCTCTCGGCAGGCGGCAGAACCATTGAGCCAAATCCCCAGCCCCCATTTTTCTCTTTTTCTTTGCTGAGACTGTAAAATTTTTATATTTCCTTTGTAACTTTTGACCTTAATGTGCATACATTTTCATAACTACTTAAAGTCTTTGCAGGGTGATTTAAACATTTTTTTATCTCAACATTGATATAAAATGATTGTTCTTGTTCTTTTCATGTGAAGTAAATTTTATGGTATCCTGAGCATTTTGGTTTTTTGTTTTGTTTTTGGTATCAGGATCAAACTTGGGACCTTGTGCATGGGAGGCAGGTAGCAAAACCAGTGAGCTAAATCCCCAGCCTGGCCCTCCTGAGCATTTTGTATATGAGACACTGTCTTAATTAAATCCTGTAGAGGATGTTGTGTTGCCCTTTGCTTTTTAACGATAATTAAGCAGGCCTAATTAGATTCTTCATGTCTCTACCACTCTTTTGTGAATTGCAATTTCTATGAGTTCCATCTCCAAAGCACTTTTGGTGCTCTTTAGATCTGTCCTGCACATGTGCCACTCGGTGGCCTGTTTCATTACTTAAGTCTTCCAAGCAGTAGGCTAGGCCCTTCATTACTTCATTCTGATTTGTAATTTCTGCTACTATGCTTTGGTCTGTGGCTAAGGGGTAGAAAAGAGAGAAATAATGTAACTGGGGCTCATTCTACCCTTGTGATACTTACTTCCTGTTATCAGATGGCAGGGCTCTCTCCATCTGACTTTAGGCTGCAGTGTGCCCTCATTACCGTCACTGTCCCCACCACCACTGTACGGTGTTTAATGATTGCCTTGTAAGAGAGTAAAATCAAAAGGGGGATGATGGCAGAATTCCCCTCACTCTCTCTGAGCAGGAGAAGACCACTTTACTGCTCTTGACAACAGGACTAGACAGCGTCCGGAGTTCTCTGTTTGTGACAACACTCACTTCCCGATTTCTTGCTCCATCGAGTTCAGACCTAGAGAGATCAGGAACCAAGCGGTAAACTCATGGTATGCTTAGTGATAAGTAGAATTATTCTCTTCTTTTTCAATTTACCTGTTCATATTTATTTTTCAGAGTCCTCCAATAGCTATTCCATCCACTCTTTCCAAGTTTTCCACCTGGAATCAGCAGGAGAAAGGGGGTGAACATGAGTTTCCCGTATTATCCAGAACTGGCAACTTAGCATTGCAGTTTGTAACGAAATGATTCTAATGTGCAAATAGCACATCTGAGTTTTTCCTTGACTGAGTTTTCATTAACTTTTCTTTCTTCTTTATTCCTCCATAAGCCTTATTTTTTCTTTCCCTTTCCTTCCTTTTCTTTTCCTTTTAACTTTTCTCTTTCTCCTTCAGCTTTCTTCTCTGAATTCCAGGCTTGTATAGCCAATGCCTGTTTACTTTTCTGCGTGGCTATCTCAATTTACTTAAAAACTCAGCATGACAACATCCACCCGCACACCTAGCCTTCTAGCATCCCCCATATCAAAGAATGCCACTGCCGTGATTGGTGCTGTGCCACATGGAAACTCAGCATTGGTTCTTCACAGCACCTCTTCTCACACCACTCTTTTTTCCAGTATGAAAACCATCAAAATGCCCTGCAGATTTCAACTCTTAAATACTTCCTCATCTCCTCCACTTCTGCCCCAGCCCAATTACTCACTTTTCTTCTCTACGCTACTATAATAGCTTCCTAGCTGTTCTCCCATGTCTGCATTTATTGGGTCATCAAAGTCATTTTCTACGTACATTCAGGGTGGTCTTTTCAATAGGAAAATTTAATCGGCTCTGCTTAAAACCCACGATGGATGTCTATTGCTATCCATCTATGGTGAGTAGCATGTCAACAAGCTTGCGAAGTCTGACTCGTGTTACCCTTGTAGTTTCATCTAAGACCACACAGGCCTTGTCCTTTTCCCCAGTTCTGGAATAGAGCATTCTCCTTTCACCTATCACAGGGCCTATATTTATACAGTCGTATATTATATATAATTACACACACAGAGACTTTCTTCTGCCTGGTTTCGCCTTATTGTCCAGGTAATAATGTCGGATCTCAGCTAAATTTTATCGGGTCAGTTCATCAATTCTTGAACCTTATGAATAAATCAAGTCCTCTCTCATTATATTCTCATCGCACCATTGACCTCTCTTTCATTGCATTGTCTGATTCTCTTTGGGGCAAAAACTTACCATTCAAGACTCAGCGCGTCTGCAGATCTGCTGCGTCAGCATTAATTGGGAGCTAAAAATGCAGACTGTCAGGTCCCACATTAGTCCTCCTCAATCAGAATTTCTCTTTTTAAATAAGCACCGCAGGTATCTCTGTGATCGTTACTGACTAAGAAATGGTGATCTACAATGTATTACTATGCAGATTGTTCATTTGATATGATAAAACTTGTTGAAATCAGATTATTTTTACTTTTTGATATTTTGATTCTTTGTAGCTTGCTGTGGCAAATCATAAAAAAATTCCAATTAACTATAAATGTCTCTAATTTCTCATTATGGCTGAGTAGTACTTCATTTTATATATATAAAAAAAC